CGTCACTTACGTTCAGACGTGCTGGCCAAACACTACCTTGTATGGTGAACTCAAACAACTACATCAACGCCGCGACTCCCTTTCCATGGTCGATTTTTGCCTCATGACTGCAGATCGAGTTGTCGTTCCTTCATGCCTCCGGCAAGCTGTACTCCCCCATCTCCATTCTGCTCACCCCGGTATAAACAGAATGAAGGTAATTGCCCGCAGTTATGTGTACTGGCCTGCATGGACAACGACATTCAAGATTTGGTCCGCCGCTGCTCGAAATGTCAACAAGCCTCAAAGATGCCACCACACCAATCACCGGTTCCTTGGCATCCGCCAGCAAAACCGTGGTCTCGAGTGCACATCGACTAAGCTGGTCCCGTTGATGGCATTTCCTATCTGGTCGTGGTCGATGCCTATTCCGAATGGCCAGAAGTCGCCGCCGTCAACCCACCAACCGCATCCGCCACTCTGGGTTGTCTCCAACGAGTCTTCAGTCAACATGGCCTTCCCGAGGTTTTGGTGTCCGACAATGGTACCCAGTTTACCTCTTCCATCTTCGAAGACTTTTGTCGCCGACACTGCATCGAACACCTCCGCTCACCACCTTACCATCCCCAGTCCAATGGTCAAGCGGAGCGATTTGTCGACACCTTCAAGTGGGCGCTTTTGAAATCTCGCGGGAGGGGACCGTGAATGAGTGTCTTCAAGCCTTCCTGCTCTCGTACCGGTCCACACCGAATCCAGCTACGCCAGGATGCCAGTCACCAGCGGAAGCATTGATGGGCCGCAAGCTACGCACCACCAATGAAGCGCTCATTCCGACTAAGAAGCCACCTAGTCACTCTGGTGCCTGCACCAAGCACAAAGAATTCGTCGTTGGCGCTCCAGTCTACGCTCGCGATTATCGAGCAGGTCATCCACGCTGGATCAAAACCACAGTGACGGCCACGCGAAGTGACATGCTGCATGATGTCTCCGTGGGTGATGACACGTGGGTCCGCTATCGCAATCAACTTCGACCGCGCCACGGAGAAACCTCCACGCCAGCTAGCCTTCCTGTGCGCCTGCCGCTGCACATCCTGTTGGATACCTTTGGATTGGCTACGCAACGAGAGACTACGGTCGAAGCCGCTCAATCGCCGCCGCGTCTGGAGAACCCGCTTTGCCGACGAACAAGAAGAATCCGGCGGTCGCGAAATCCCTCTAGGTCAATCCTCGTCAGAAGCGGTACGTTTTCTCTTCAAAGGGAGGTGTTGGGGGCCCGTCAAATATCCCCGTAAAAAACGCGCCAGAAACTCCGTCATAATGGCTGTGGAAAGCGAGATCCAATTCCTCTCCACAACGTAACAGCGTTCAGCCACTCCGAGACGCGGCCCAACTGCGCACCTTTGGACAATCGTCTTTTGTAAACTACCACCTCGTCGTGGTAGCTATTTTCCCTAACTTAATGCCCCACAGCATTGACTGTGATTTGCCCTTTGTTGATCGTAAAAGAGCCTTCAGAAGACCACTTGCTTTTTTTCTCTTTGCCTCAGTTGGGAGTCGGTCAGGTCACGTGATTTTGCGTGCGTCGTTAGCCGGGCAGTGTTCGCGTCTAAGTCACTAGTGCGCGTCTACCGTAACCCCTTCTCGTGTGCGTCCGTTTTGAGGGGTCAGCGTCTACCCGAATACGTGCGACTAGCATCGTTCTCACGCTCGCTCCATTTCCTTCTCAACAGCGCTAACGCCATCAGGTCATCGCAATACCGTTCGATTATGCAGCGTTCCAAGCCGTTACCGTAGGCGTGCTCCAACCGTGCCAGTGACAATCCTGTCAGGCGTTCCCTCCATTATAAGAGAGACAGATAGAGTAAACGGGAAACAGATACCAGCAATACGGTTACCAGGTGGAATGATACACAAATGAGAGGTACAATAAAACAATGATGTCTGTAGATGCCGTCTGCTATATGCGTTAGAAGGCGGTAATATCACAGATTATCTGATAACCGCAATGACAGGATCACCGAAAGAATATATCTAGCAAATCCCACTGCGTCCTGTCGTACATTTGGCTTTCGAAAAAGTGATCAAACGGATTTAGCCAGTTTACAAGAAGTAGCCTACATAACATCCAATTACCCAACCGTTGGAAGATGTGGCTGTATACTTAACTGTGGCAATAAGCTATTTATGCAAACGACAGACCCATTGCGAGTCTCGAGTAACACGTACAAACGCCCTGGTCTAACCAAGACGGTACAATTAAAGAAAATACAACTCAAGTGCAATATGTGCAAACATCAGTCCAAGTAGAACCGAGGCAAATCACACGGACGAGCCAACGTGTGGGTGCTTGCAACGAAAATTGTTGGACATTGAACACCGAATTTCCAAACTGCATTCCAAAATGAGGAGGTGTTGTAGAGTCATTGGACTCCAGGTACAATTGTTGATCCCTACACCCAATTTGTTCAACCGAATGCACGAACAAATGTGGAATTATTGTAAGCAGCAAGCGCTTGGTAGCCAGTAGTGAACGCAGCCCATTCACGCTATCGGCGTCATCACTACGACTGACTTTTAAGATGAGAATGCTTGAGGGTAGGCGACCAATCTAAGGGATTCATTAGTGTTCCTTCGAATCCGTTACACACACACGCACGAGCGGTTGTGGCCTTCCAACTATGCATACAGAGGAAGACTAACTGGAGGGTCTATGTGTTGCTGACATTCACAATGAGCAACACTCACACCTAGACGTTTAAAGACAATTCGAGGTCACTCGCAGTACGAGTTGCATTCTGGTCGGACACTAGGTCTGCATGGATTGTGAAGCTCCAGTGATTGAGACTGCAAACACTACACGAACGAACCTGTTCCCATGCTTTTGAGCTCCGGTCACTGTGTGGATACTGACACCTAGGGAGAGCGCATGGTAACCTGCATTTTTGCTTCTGGTTATGGAGGCTGTAAGCCGTCTGAGCTATGAACAACTGCGGCATGTCCCCGTGGACCGTAATAATGCGAACATGTATGACTTCGGTTTGGAGATAATAATAACAGCCAACGTTTTCATGCTATGAGCAGTTGCGTGTCGAATAGTAAAGCGTGCAATAAATAACGACTTACTGACAATGTCGAACAATACCTGCGTTCCGTCTGGCTCACCACTGGCGTCTTTTTGGGTCCACGCAACTAGGCATAAATTGATTCGTTCCATTCATCCGTCACGACGCACAAAACACCGAGTTGGAGCGTCCTAGTCATTATGCAGCATTCCCGGCCATTGTGAGCACCTCAAGCATAACACTACGCTGGTCCAGAAGTATGTCGCGATTAGGCATACGAACGGGATCGTGGTAGCATGTGAGGCGGAGAGAGACTACTGAGCAACTCAAAATGAACGAAATCGACGTAATTAGATGCATACTGAATAGTAAGTGTTGAAACCGGTGTAGCCCGGCTGCGATGAGGAAGCATGGTGCATGCAACATCAGCATCAGTATGGGGCAAAAGTAAAATCATGAGCATATGGTATGGCGGCATTCGTATCCGAATTTGCCTGTCACTGTGGTCTCCATGGGGACAGTCACAGGACGCCTGCGCCTACAGAGGGACCATGGATGGCTTGCGCTGCACCACCCACAGGTCCATCCACACACCCCATATCCAGTGTAAACCCGAAGGAATAAGACCGGGAGGCATGCGGATGGGAGCAACGTTTCATCAACGGAGTCGGCCCACACTCCTTCACAGGCAATCACACGTACGCTGTATTTGGGAAATCAAGTATACACAAGGCGGTGGCTGGACCCTAGTCCGCTCCACATTAAGTGCATGGAACCACTTTTCGAGCCTAGCACGACCACAAGGACCGTGCACCCCGTTCCCTCCAGCAACGATCAGCTGTCTCCTGGAGCCAGTATGGACGAGGAGGTGGCTAATTGACAGGTAGGCACCTTGTCAACATGCACATCAAGCGCAGCCACACCTGGGATGTCAAACAACAGCCAATCATTCGAAATGGCGATATCGAATAAAGTAAGCACATATGACGACATAAATACCTGATAAATGAATATATGGAGGTAATTGATTATAAGTGAATCCACAATAAGTACAACATGTCCGGAACTAATATATATATATATATATATATATATATATATATATATATATATATATATATATATATATATATATATATATATATATATATATATATATATAGTGGTAAACTTGCGTAATTTTATCGCATGGCATTTTTAAATAAGTTCAGGACATTTTGTACTTATTGTGGATTCACTTATAATCAATTACCTCCATATGTTCATTTATCAGGTATATATATATATATATATATATATATATATATATATATATATGGGTGGTGCAGCGCACGCCACCCATGGTCCCTCTGTAGGCTCAGACGTTCTGTGGCTGGCCACAGTGACAGGCTAATCCGAAACCGGATGCCGCCAACCATATATACCGTATGCGTGATAGAGGTGTCACTGTGTTGCGACGATGTTCGCCATTCTGACGAAATATATTCTGAGAATTGCTAATCGACTTCGGCTTTACTGTCAAATGCGCACCTTTTTATATTTTTGTTACAGCTTAACTCCACATTCATTTGTTACTACATCACTGCCCAACAACCTTTATCCGAGCTTTTGGTTAAAACCTAAATCGTCGCAATTAATCTGGACTTAGGTGAGACAACTTAAGACGTTGCCGACGGTGTTCGTTTTCTTATTCACCTTTCATTCTGACATGACCCGGATAGACGTCATGAACCGGAAACCACAAATAGGATGAAAAGCGAATAAGTTTCGGCCTACTTGTAACTCCACCTGCTTCACTCGAGTAGAGAATTGTGCCTTCGTTCAATTGTCTGCTCTGAATGTACCGGTTACACCGGAAATATTTGCAGTATTGTGTGAGACCCTTATTTTGTAACATTTCATTTTTCGTGCCTAGAACACTTCTTGTATTGGAACCATTCTCCTTGCGTTTTCTACTAGCTGGTGATCAATCTCTCGACTAAAGACGGAGTTTTGGACAAACAGGGCTCTTACATGGGTTCCTACGACGCAGCTGTGAGTAATAACTTTCATACACTTGCTATTGTGCCATGTTCTTTATTCTGTCCTATTGTCCATTACATCATTGTAAATTCATATATCATCAGAGAGCAAACACCACTATTACCATTACCAACACCTTCATACCGGCACTTTTATTCATCTTCCATTGTTATCAGTAAACAAGTTATTCCAACCAGTTTCAGTATCGTGCACTTTGTACTCAGACTAATGCTCACGAAGCTTGATTGCGATTTAGCGACTGGTAGAGAGGCAGGAAATGTTATATGCTTCTCTAGAATGAGATGTGATCTGGCGGTTGTCTGTGACCGTTTGTACAATAAAACAAAGAGGGCAAAGAAATGAATGATGGTTTTCGGCAGTGCATTCGAATTTTTTATAAATAGTACAGCTCCTGAAAGATTTTCAGGTGGTTCCATCGGGTGAAGCTAATCATCATCAACAGCAGTACATCAGCCATTTGAACTGATGATTCGCTGCCATACAACCATGAGGACCTATGAAATAAAGAATAAGAAGAGGGAGAGAAGGGGGACTTACCTGAAAACCTTAATGCCCTAAACAAACATTCTGGGTCAAGGCACCTACACCTTGTGTAGACAACATACCGTCACAAACAGCTGGCTATCGTGCAAAGATAAGGCGGCATCGGCGAGACAGCTTCCTTGCGGCTTTCACTGCCCCGCGTCATAATCAGCCACTACCCAGCAGATAACTCAGCACCAAACACACTTTAAACAGGCAATCCGATTAGGAGACGGCAGCAGACGCGCCACTGGTGTCTACTGCGAGCCATGTCCTGTAAAGTCTCGAGCCAAGCACAAGGCGAGTCACGTGGACTCCAGCCCGGAAGGCGAGACGGACCAACGGCACCCAGTTTGGTCGTCAGTGACTTCATTTCCCGCTGCCAAGTCAACCTCTGTCCACCTCGAGCCTTGCGCCACCCTACATCTGGCAGACTAAACAAGGCCCTCCTAGGTAAGCGGTGACCAGGCATGCGTAGCACGTGCCCGAGCCAACGCAACTTATTCAGTGCTATCTGTTGTTCTAGGGAGCTAGCATGATTATCACCACCTAGTACTCGCCTACGCACATCATCGTTGCGGACACGCTGGTGCCATCCGACTCCAACAATGCTTCGCAGACAACGATGATCAAAGACTTGAAGGCGCCTCAGATCTTCAGACCGAAGGGGCCAAGTCTCACTACCATAGAGCAGAACGGCCCTCACTGTGGCCTTGTATACACGGCCTTTCAGACGGAGGGAAACTCCCTTCTGTCGCCAAAGATGCCGCAGGTTCAAGAAGGTAGCTCTGGCTTTTGCAATGCGTGAGCTGACGTCAGTTTCTATGCGCCCATCATTGCTGATACAGCTGCCAAGATAAGTGAAATGATCAACCACCTCGAGTTCCTCGTTAGCAAGCGTCAAGGGGTCATCAAGTGGCTGGTGGTCCTGCAGCAACACTTTGCACTTTGAAGGTGCGAAGTGCATACCAAATAATGGGACCACTCTGGACAGGCTATTCAGGGTTGATTGTGCCGCCGCAACATCGTCGAAAAGCAAGACGATATCGTCCGCATAATCTAGATCAACTAACCTTCCACCAGGCAGCACTTCAACGCCTACATCGTGAGATTCCGCAAGGGAACACTCCATGATAGAATCCACGACGAAATTGAACAAAAATGGGGAAATCGGACAACCCTGACGAACGCCACTTGTGGTCGGAAAGCTATCCGATAGGACACCGTAGACCCTGACGCGGCCTGTAGTGTTCGAGTATAGAGCACGAAGGATGTTCACATATTTCGTGGGAACACCTTTCCGCGCAAGTAATTCGAACAGAATCGATCGATCGACTGAATCAAACGCACTCTTGAAATCGAGGAACACAGCTATTGTCGGTCTGCGGTATGCGTGGCGCTGCTCTAGCACCTGCCGCAAAGTGAATATATGGTCTATACAGCCACGTCCTGGGCGGAAACCAGCCTGCTCTTCCCTAATCCGAGATTCCCTTTCCGCAGTGAGGCGACGAACGAGAATCGAGGCCAGTAATTTTGTCACAACTGGCGTTAGGCTAATACCCCTGTGGTTCGCACAGTCTGTGCGACTGCCCTTCTTGTATATTGTCACTATAATTGATTCGCTCCAATTAGTCGGGACACTCTTCGTTCCAGATACGTTCGAATAGGGAGGTCAGTGCTTTGCAGAGGACCTCACCTCCATCCTTAAATAGTGCAGGTGGGAGAGAATCCGGGCCGGCGGCACGAAAACGATTGAGGGCTGTGATCGCGTTTCGGACCTCGGCCTCCGACGGAGACTCTAAACTAACCGTCAATGGCTCGTCCTGCATCACCTGAGTAGGAAGAGGTCCGGGAGCAAGGGGCCAGCTGAACTGATCTTGAAAGTGTTCCGCCCAACGAGCCATACGGCGCTCCTTATTGTGTATCAGTGCACCCGCTCTGTCTCTGATTGTCTCACTGACACCTGGTTTTCTGGGACCAGTGGTGCGGATTAGCTGGAAGAGCTTGCGGTAATTGCCTACTGCTCCTGCCTCCACCATTTCTTGAGCCCTACTGGTCCACCAGACTTCTTTGTCAGCACGTAGGCTCCGCTTTAGTTCACGCCTAATAGCCCGTCTGGTCACATTGTGTTCAGAACCAGCCGGGAGGTATCTTCTAGATTCCAAAAGGTTCACCGACCTCTCGGATATCCAGTGACTGGTGCGGTGAGGATGGAGAGTGCCACAAGCAGATGCTCCTGCGTCATGCATGGCGGCCGAGATCCTATTCCACTGAAGCTCAGTGTCATTAGGACAAGACAGCGGAAGTTCGGTACGCAGTGCTTCTTGATAGGCTTGCCTGACGGAGGAGTGAGACAATTTCTCCGTTGGCATTCGTAGGGGACACTTGGTAAAGTTCAAGGAGAAGCGACAGCGTACCAAGGCATGATCACAGTCGACACAGGTACTCCAGTATGAGCGCCAATCCAGGATGGAACCACGCCCTCTGTAACTTATGGCTAGGTGGTCAATTTGGGTCCATCGCTGGCCAGCTACAGGAGGACGCCAAGTGGCACTTCGACGCCCACTGTGTCTAAAAGCAGTGCTACTAAGAAACAACTGGTGCTCCGCACACAGTTGCAGCAGACGCTCACTGTTGTCAGTCCGTTCGGAGTTAAGCCCACAATTACCACCCAGCTGAGCTTCTGAAGAGCTCAGATGCCCTACTTGGGCGTTCATATCCCCTGCAAGTATTGTAATATCTGAACTAGTAGCACCGCTTAGTAGCGCGTTCAGTTCGTGATAGAATGTGTCTTTGACAGTATTTGAACTGCAGTCGGTGGGAGCATAAGCGGAAATCACAAACAGACAGCGTTTTTTATTACTTCTTGAATCAACCTTAGCTGATATCGTCTAACGGGTTTCACATAAACGGCTGTTCACCGGAATCCAATCAGGCAACGATGACTCAGCCTTGGAGCTTAGAATGATACCTACACCAGCTTGACCCGTGAGTGCTGCATCAGCGTCTCCAGATGCGTGCAACCAATACCGAGAGGATAAGCCGGGTGCAGTTAATTCAGTAACCCCATTAGGGTCATTGATCCTAGTTTCGGACACACAACACACGTCAATACCCAGTGTATCCAAGGTGCGTGCGAGTGCAGCCTGTTGACCTGTTTGTCTTAGAGTGCGAACGTTGAATGTCGCCATGGAAACGGGATAGCGTGGCCTTATAAGGGACTTTTGCCGATAGGCGTCCTATAGGTGCTGTGGGATGGTGGCTGCAGATGGTTCTACTCCAGTGGCACTTCGGTTGCTGTCAGTTAAGCTGGGAATTATAGAAGGAAGGTTAGTAATGGGGGTCGGGATGGGAGTAAGAGAAAAAGGTGGAAAAGGAAGAGGGGAGGCGGCAGCAGTAGCATGTTTTCACTTATCCGCCCTGCTGTATGCAGCAGATAAGGCGACCCTTGATAATCTGCGCGACGGCCGATGCAGGATGAAGTTTACCTTTGAAGAAGATGTCGTGGTTGTATGTGAGCTGAGATACTGCCAGGGCGCCCAGACCTAGACAGGAGTGAAGCCAATCGAAAAGAATGGAAATTGAAATCGAAATAGATTTCGCGAAGTGCAGAAAACTTCAGTGTATCACTCGCGTGTGACTTCCAGAAAGGAATAACAGATGAGCAGTGTCGAACAAATGTAACGCAATAAGAAATCCTGACAAGTTTTCGCCTTGGTAAGCTCAGATATAACGTTAGGCGGAAAATCGCGTTATCTTAATACCCCTGCTAACCGTGGCTGAATCCATGGAGTCGGGAGAACAAGAGGAAACAGGGTGTTTGCATCCTATCCATCTCGCTCCAGTTTCACAAGGACATTCATTTGTCACAGTTTGTCTCAGCATACGAATAGCTGTTTCAACGCTGAAAAATGAATGTAATGCCTTACGAAATTGTATCCCTGACTGAAGTTCACGTATCTCACTTGGAAGCCTGTTCCATAATACGGAGTATCGGTTAAGGGAAAACTTCCGACCGCTTAGTTTTCGATATTTTCACTAATAGTTTGTTGGTGTTGTCATTTCTAGTGCGATACATTACCGGTTCTTTTAGTTGCAGTATCGGATTAGATGAATGTATTTTTCTGGTTGGTATCAAAAAAAGACGAAAAGGTTAAGCTTCATCTGGCGCAGCCATAGTGGATCAAGTTGTAAGGCAATGCATCTATCCATATATTATAATGTAGAGGAGTGGCCCATGAGACTTTTAGTAATTGACCGTTGCACTCGCCCTAACGCTATACAGTCACTCACTCTGGAACTGCAATGGGTTATGGAGCCATAAGCTAGCAACGACCGTCTTTGTATTTTGTAAAGGGCATTAATTAATTCTTTTAGAGTGAATGTTTTGAACAAAAGCCCGATGCCCCGACGAGCATGAGCTTCAGTACGTCGAGCGTGCTCAGCGAAGTTTAGGATATTTGAGTAAT